GGTTCTATCAGCATTTCCCTAGAGGGAAACAGCCATCACCATACTTTGCATCGAAAACACACTTTTTTGTCACCCATGGCATATCAAACAGTATATCACCATGGGACACACCCTCAACCAACAGGTTTGGTTTGAAACCCTGGGTCTTGACGGAAAGACGTCGTGTTGGTTCGCAGGTTGATATCAGCATATAGGAGGGAACCGCATTAAGGTTCAAAATCATGCAAGTAAACTCACCATCTTGAAATATGGTTCAAATGTGCGTCATCGATCAAGCTCAAAAATACTATAACTATCGGAAACATCAGAAAGCTGGCTACCTAACCAAAGACGACTAAGTGTGCACCGTCGGCTAGGCATTTTGCCAGTAACTCAAAATACGTGCATCACTTACTAGATAACGAGACATTTGGTCATAACTACCACCAGTGTTGTTTGAATGGATACTATGCACTGATTTAGTTGCTTACTTTGTTAAAAATTATGATCACAGCACTGAGGATACCGGAAAAATAAAAAACGCCTTTAGATTGCTGTTTAAGTTTGAATATGTGATAACTGCATTGTAAGCATAGAATTGAATAATTCAAACAAAACTTTAAGTTATCATTATTTTTAGAGAAACAGAAACATGAAAAAAGACAGTAAGTAAGGTCCATATCAGATTTGTTTATCTGATTTATAACACGGTGATCTAGTATTACTTACTTGATAAAAAAATGGAACGCTTCACGATTTTGCGTGTTATAAATCGAGTAAACAAATCTAATATGGAATTAATTTCTACCACAGTGCCCAAGTTTTACACTTATAGTAAGTAAAGTTTTCATGGAAATAAGTACGTAAAACCGTTTGTGATTGACGGCTACGTTGCACCATATAACGGCTAAATTCTAACCAGATGTAAGCCAAGGTGTGCGATTCAACTCTGCGGAGATATTTGTGAGTGTTGTTAGTACACTGGTTACCAGTTTAATCGCTAGTCTGTTGAACAATACCTCTTCAACTTTAAAGTCATGAATCTCCTTTGATGATGGAAGTTGACAGACGTGCGAAACTAGTAAATAGTTCCGTATCTTGACTTATCGGTAATTTGTTCCTGCTTAAGTTAGAACCCCCATGTTATGAAGTCGATCGTGTAGACATTTATGGGTAACGTTTTCTAAAAGGGAATATATACTCCAGTAGACTTGAGTTACAAGAATGCACAAGAAGCAGATTCCATTCTCACTACTCAAAACCATGTGCCACTATATACTGTGTGTTCAGGGTCAGGATTGTGTGAACGCTTTTCTGTAGAAGGCAGTTTCATCTTGCTTCTTCGTTAAACCATGTGCTTACTGACCACATTGCTCTGTATCCATGTATATCCATGTAATCGAAAGGCCACATACAAACGTCTTGTATATTAAGCATACTATTACTATGAGTATTTGTCCCTTGGATTCCTAAAGTAACATAGGGTTTCACTCGCACGTCGCCATTTCACTCTCTTCCCTGCAGTCTTTTTAACCTGGCTCCACGACTGCCCATTAACTTTCATTTCTTCCTCACACCATCTCCTCCATGTCACCCTCAACTGGGACGCCCAACTCGTCGCTCTGCATACGGATTCCACTCAACAGCCTGGCCTGGCTCGTGATGTCCTCAGACGGTCCTCTCAGTGTATGTCCGGTCCATCTCCACTTTCTTCTTCACATTTGTTTGGTAGGTTAGTTGCCAGAGTTCCTAGTTGCGTGTTCTTTCTGGGCACTTGATCTTCAGTATGGAGTGAGCGTAGGTGGCAGGTGTTGACGCATGTCTGTGGTTTGTTGAAAATGCTTTTCGTAGAGCATCAAGTCTCTCAACCATCACATAGAAGCACTGACTTGACTGACTCAATGTTGAAAATCCGGACCTTGTTCACGCTTTATACTGAGTGCAGTGTAGTGCAGTAGATCTCCACACTGATTTCAGATTAATGAAGAAAGGCCTATCTTGCTGTCTTTCCGATCCTGGTTTTGACATCCTCATCTGTACCGCCCGTAGTTGAAACGATGCTGTCTAGATAGGCGAAAGAGACAACTTCCTTTAGATTTCTCCCGTTCATGGTGATTGGTGCTTGTTGTTGATGTTGTTGGTTGGGTATCTTCATCACCTCTGTCTTCTCTACGTTCACTTGAAGTCCCGCTTCGCTGCCTCTTCTGTCAACTTGTTGGCTTTTGCCTGTAGATCTTCGAGTTTGTACGACACTAGACATAAATCAGCATCGGCTTGATCCAAATCTTCTAGGGTCTTTTCATGGGTCAGACAGTGTATGCCCCTCTTCTCGCCCCTCACGGTTTGTTGTATGATCCAGTCCAGTCCAGTCGACCGAAATCAGGAAGATCATGGGTGACAGTAGGCAACCTTGTCTTACTCCTGTCTTCACTTTACTCCAAAGGCATCAATGAGCTTTCCATTGTGAATCACTTGGCATGTAGCCTCATCACATAACATATAGCTGCTATTGAATGTGGTTGATAAAGGTTTGTGGTAATAAAACCGTGGTGTTGAAGGGACTGCCAAATTACTTGTTGGTGGACGCCTCGATCGAAGGTCTTTTCAAAGTGGATGAAGTTGAGATAGAGAGTTGACTGCCATTCTGTTCTCTGTTCTATGTTGGTGTGTAGCGTTGCGATTTGATCCGCACATGATTCGTACTTCCTGAAACCAACCAGCCTATTCCGGTCGTAGTTTTAAATGCAGAGCATTTTCGAGTCTCTCCAGGATAATGAGGCTTAATATTTTGCTTGGGGTGGACAGGAGAGTGATTCCACGCCAGTCCTTGGAAAGGCTTAGATCTCACTTCTTTGGGAGGTTGACAACATAGCCCTTCTTCCTTCCTTCCAAACATTTTGCAATAGTGGTGTTGTGTGAGCATGTTCGCTGCTGTCTCTGCGTCCGTTTTCAGTGCTTCTGGCAGAATTCCATCTGGTCCTGCTGCAACTTTATGGCGTCCAGGACTTCTGCTTTTGACGAAGGGCCTGTGTTCACTGATAGTTCTGTGGCTGGGTTGCTGGTGGTATTTCTGGACAAATTGCAGATGGTGGTCGATTAAAGAGCCTTTTGAAGTGATCAGCCCATTGTTTCATCTGTTCCTCCTCTTTGGTAACTGGCTTTCCTTCACTATCTTTCATTGGTTTCGTCTGAGTCGATCTCTTCCCAGATCGATAGTAACCTGATTATTTGATACAATGTTGTCAGGTCTCTCCTACCAGCCAGCAGCCTGTTCTGCTTCACTTGCCAATGTGTCGTGGAAGTGTATTTGTCTTTGCGCGCACTCTTCACTTCTTTGTCTAGCGTAGTGTTTTTACGTTGTACTCAGTTCTTCTTTTCGTTGTTCATCCTTGCACTGCACTGGTTCATCTTCTGCTTCCCCCCATCTTCCTCTCTCTGCCCTGTTAGCTTCCATATGTCCGTCGAGATCCATTACTCATCTTTTTTCTTCTTCCTTCCTAATACGGTTATGCAGGTTTCTTTCCACATAGCTGTCAAAGAGTTCAAGTGCTCATCCACACAGGTTTCTTCAGGGATGTTGCTTGATATTTCCCATTACGTTCTGATGGCTGACGTGAAGATGTCCCTTGTAGTTTCGTCCTTCAGTTTCTGTTCTGTGCGTTGAAATTGAACTGTGGTCTATCACCAACTACTTTGCAGACTTTCAACTTGAATTTGAAGGTTCATTGGACTAGATAGTGATTGGTGTGAACCTACATCTGCTCCTCTTCGTGATCTTGTGTCCAGTAGGCTGCGTCTCCACTTTCTTAAGATCGAGATGAAGTCGACCTGGCTTTTAGTGTATCCTGGTGTCTGGTGAAATTCATGTTGCTTTGTACACATTGCATCCAATCACCAAATTGTTGAATGCGCAGAAATCTGCAAACAGTTCTCCGTTCTCATTCATTTCACCGAGTGCTTCTCGACCCATGGTTAGTTCTCTTCCTGTGTTTTCCGCTCCCAGTTTGGCATCCCATGTCACCCATTAGAATTTTTATGTCGCCAACTGAGGTCTTGTCCAGTACTGATTACAGTTGTCTGTAGAATTCCCCCTTCCTTTCTTGCTCTGCATTATTTGTTGGCGTGCAGCATTGTACGATTGTGACTTTCCGTCCTTCCGAGTTGAATCTTGCTGTCATAATCCTGGAGGAGGCTGGTTCCCACTGCATGAGAGGCTTCGATGCTCTTGAGGTCATCGTGATAGCCACTCCCTCCGTGTGTTGGTGGTTGTCGTCTGGGTGACAATATTGGAGTAGATTATTGACTCCTCTCCAGTTGGCAGATGGGAGTGTCCATTTCCATTCCATCTGCTCTCGCAGATTCCTAGCCTAGCACTTCTATGCCATATCTTCTCATCTCTTTTGCAATCTGGACAGCCTTGCTAGGTTCATGCATGGTGCGAACATTCTATGTCCCCACGGTGACTTTCGCTTTCATCGATGGAAGAGAAGATACATCGGCCGACTGGCTTCCAGAAGGCTTTCACCAACCGGCATCATTTCTTCTTTCTGATTCCAGCAAGGAACAAGTTTTTTTAAAATATTTTCGTTTTGCTTTGAAGTTTTCTTAGCGGTCGGATTGATTTTCCGATGTAGAGTTGCTAGTCCTATGCCCAAACTTCCCTTTTTAAACGGGCTTAGGACCGGCTAGTGACTAGTTAACTAGGTGAAGTGCTACTACTATTGAAAACCTTTAATAGTTGGGAATGAACTACGCTTGTCTTAATGATTTCATCATCCAGATTGGAGTTGTACCTAACATATGACGGCTAAGATACCAGCTAGCAGCGAAAATCGTAATAGAATCTGCTATTGTGCTATAACTTTTGAATCTTGACTGGTCCACCGGTTTCAGTATGCAACAACCAAAGAATTCATTCTCAATTTCTCTGAAGTAGGTGCATGATCAATCTATTCAACAGTTCCTTGACAGTAAATCAAGGAATAAGTGCAGAATATGAAGCAAATTATTTGTTAACTTACCAATTAAAGGCACAAATTCACTTGTAGCCGGCATATTTTCTGCAATCAACAACATGAATACACTGAACGCCAATAGAACAGTTATACCCAAGGTAATTTTTTCACCAGAATCCGGCGGCAACCAAAAACTGATTAAACTTAACACAGTTAGCCATAAACATGGAAAGATTATATTGAATAAATAATAAAGTGTACGCCGACGCATATAAATCGTGAAGCGTAAATCTGGATATGGTTCTGCACAGCATGGATAAAAAGTCTGTCGACAAGAAGAATATACAAGAATATGGGAAAATGACAGTTAAATTATGTTTAGATAATGCACTTAGGTGGTGTTTTAAAAGGACCACGTTTGCATCTATACATCTGACCAGTCGTCACAAGCTGAAATCAACAGATACTTTTTCGTGAAAAAGAAGGTAACAGGCAGATGTTGTGTCCATAATCGACTAACCTTCATCAGTGTGCACTGATCTTTCAGTCAAAATTAGACTTCTTGTTATAATGACCAGTAATGGTTTGACCAACGATCGCTAGCAGTCCTCTTCTGTGACATACACATAGAGATGAATCTGATTGCCTGCAATATACGGACATTAAGTACTAGACTTTATGTTCCGTTGTAAGCGATTGTAGGAGAGGGCTAAACTGCTTGAGTCATCGTGTGGGTGGACTGAGTATACGAGATAGGGCAAGTAAATACGAGGTCAGTCATATATAAGGTCAGCGTTAAGAGTGAAATAATAGTATAAGAGTAAAACGTGGGCACTGTGGTCGATTGTAATTCCATTTTGGTCTGTTTATTAGAAAGATCACAGTGAAACAGTAGCATTTACTGGATAACTTTTCGGACACAGTTTATTGTCCATATTCATATCAGGTAACTCCACAACCTCGAGACAGACTTTATATATTCCTAATTCTCTCTCCTTCTCTATAATGACAAGGGTAGTAGAATTTTCCACATACCTGGGACAGGTGCAGAATCATTTCTATTTCATGTGTTTGGTGCTGGTGAAATAATAGTAAGCAGTAATATTTAGATTAGATATATGACTCAAATTTGCTGAAGGCAACATAAAACACAAGAATCACACAGTTATTATGTGTATTACTGAATATGAACCCATCAATACAGACTAGGAGGGAGTCTGCAGCTAGAAGAAAGACATCCAGGAATAATAACAGACTCATGCAAACGCTAAGGTTAACAGATCGTTGTAGAAACCCAGTGAAGAGAGTTCAAGTAGAACCTGAGACAATTTCATATCTTGAATTATTTCTCTTAGACGACGGGGGTGTTATGATACGCAATATTGATGTCCAGATCCCTTAAAATGTCCCAAATCCTTCAAATTATTCAGATCAAATCAACACACCTCAAACAGTTGAGAAGAATCAATTAACTTTGTGTGTAAATATCAGACTGTTTTTGAAGGATTTCCGGATATTCAGGTTTCTAAGACGGATCCAGATATGAATATTCCACACCATTACAATTCACAGACATCAAAATGAATAAACTGGATTTCAAATTTTGGTATGACGCTTTATAACGTCTGCAACTCATGACGTAAGGTGAGGTAAAAAAGGAGGACAGAATAATGGTGAATTACCCTTTAATTTTCATGGGTTATTTGAGAAGTTCAAGGAACTATCATAATATCAGTTCCCTCTACAGTCTTCTTTGAAGGGGAAACAAAGTTTGCCAATTTTGTATATTACGTAGGTTTACATTTTAGCCCCTTATTCAAGAATCACGAAATAACTTTTAAGCTTCTTGATAAACTGACTGTCTGCTACCAGATGTTTGACATTTTTAGACAGCAAGCGTGTGACGCTAGGGCTTGGTAATACGCATCCTCGGTATTGACCAAAATAAAGCCTCCTGATAAATCTGAACCTGCAACAGATGGGACAGCAGTCAGACCTCATCGTTCATACCGTCATGACTTACCATCTTATCTAGTTATCTAGTTCATTCAGAAATGATATTTGAGCTTCATTTCCACCTGATGAACAATTTGATGTAAAACTGGACTTTCTAAGCACCAAGTTGAAGCAACAACTTCAATCAAATCCTGAGGGAAATTCTTTTGTAAGGCATTTTTGCTCACTGTTATCCCTTACATCTGGTCATGTTTTGTACCGAAAAGGCTTGAAATAGTGAAATGCATCGAAAGATTCCGAGAAATGTAAACTTTCCCACCAAAATATTAGAATTTCCATCGAAAGTAGGAAATTCACGAAGAATTCACCAATAACGTAATATTTGGTTATCATTGCTGTCGCGTGTGTTGGGCACTGTTTCGATGAACAAAAATGACAGTAATCAATGGCTTCCTCCATTTGTGAGGGATTTCAGCTGTCCCCCTATCAAGACGCATAGTGCTGCACCATCACTTCCCGACTGCCAGCACACTGATAGTATTTAAAAGTGACAGGATTTCCTGTCTGCGTCTGTCTATACTACTATTCACATCTTACATATGTATAGTCTCTCGGGTTGATCCGATTTGATTGTTCTAGGCGCATCGTTGTACGCTTGTGAAAAATAAGAGATATCAATCATACTGAGACCTTCAGTTCACAGTGATTCCTTTTACTCCAGTCACTTTTGTGTGATTTCACTCCAGTATTTCAACCCGACTATATTGTTATTTGCTTGGTGTTGGCCAGCAGTGGCATCTAGTTTTGTACTCGCCGGCTTGATGCACTTGCCCGCAAATCTTATGCCGTTCCATCTGGGACTCGGGGCCAGATCGTCATCCACTGGGCCACCAGGGCTCCATAGTCACCTCTTATGAAACATGTAACAAATATTAATACTTGTTGGCATCTGTAAGCAAATTACGACGTAGTCAATGAACAGGCAGTAATTAGGTATCCATATAGGACCCGGTATTATAAAAGAGGTCGATAAGCTTGATCCACAGTAACAACAGGAAATTAAAAGTTTCAATAGGTATTAACCAGACTAACAAGAAATGAAATTAAACAGTTAATTTTTTGTGACAGAATGACACCATTCCACCTTGTTTTATATTCAAGGATCGATGTCAGCCTAATTAATTGATTCGCAAATAGAAGTGTAACCTGAGATGTGATTACTGGAGAGGGAAATTGTGGTTACACGTCAATTTTTAAACTCACTCTAAACTTTCCAAGATGTTGGAAGTATCTTCAACAGTCCAAGCTACTTAAGGTGAATTAGCTGTTGCATACCATTCACACCATCCCTCTTGACTAACCAGATGAAAATCACCTCTGAGTTGAATCATTTTAGACGCATATGCAATGAACTTGACTAAAAATCAGCATGGATATCTGCTTTTAATTGCAGCATATTATTTGCAACTACTTATTTTCATTTCATGTTGTTATTTATCATGGACTGACATAGGTCTGAAGGACAATGGAAACTTGGTAGCCGAAAGTAGCTGCCTCATCCTGGGATGTGATTCCTCAACAGAGTCACCCATTACCCTCCAGAGACGGAACATTGCGCCTTCGGGTTGTTTGGACATCGCGTCATCACTGACCCACATCATAGTAATCCAGTGGCCCTTATTTCTATCTCCTGTCATTCCCTGATATTGCTTGACCTCCGTCCACACCTTCGACCTTTTGGCCACATGGGTCACGCTTCGTCCCTGGGACTTCGATAATCATTTCTCTAAGATAGTCAGTGGCATACATCATTCAGATATCATTTTGTCACACTTCACATTACGAATGATTTCAAAGAAAATGCACATGCACTATAATCTACATATATCTAATTCCAGTGAAAAGTATGATAGATTGATGGAATGTGTTGGCCTCATGTTTGAACACTGAGTAATCAAATTTATTCATCGAACATTTTTCATTAAATTCTTTCATTTCAATTTGTTTTAATCATTTAAATATTTCATTTGAACACATACTCTTGCACATTTTAAAACTGCTTCCAACTCTCAGTTTCTGGACTCAGTAGCAAAGGGTATGGAAAATGTTGCGTTTTATGAAAGTGGACTTTTTGGTGTGAAAAAAGCATCAAATCGCTTTCCGTCAGATGCGTAGCTTGAGTGTCAGATATTTGCACCACCTGAATGAACCGTCATCACCAAAGCGAAGCTTGCATTTCTATTGATTCTTCATTATGTACCGGATGCTCATCCATAACCAGCTGGCTATTTCACATCGTTGGCCTGAATAATATTGTTATTAACATCCTTTGGATGTAATTACAGTTTCGTTTGAAAGCATTGTTCTGGGAGTGAATTTGTTGAAAAATTTCATGCTGAGAATTCCATACTGTCATGCATATTGTTTGGAATAAAGCGATTATTATTATTATTATTATTATGCAGCTAAACCGTATTGTTTTTGTCTAAGCTCATCGTTCTGTTAAGATCGAAGCTAATCAGTCAGTTATTGGGATTAAGTAATTCATAACTATAAGTTGTATTCTGGTAGCTCACTTAGTTGAGCATTGGACAGCTGGTTCGAATCTCGTCGAGCACAGACTTTCATTATACCTTCAGTCATCACACAGCATCAACAAGAATATACTCAAGTATAAGACTTGTCGACCCGTAGTCAGACTTTTTGCGGGATACATGACTTTCTAAACTCATAAACAAAACGGTTTATGCACTGTCGAACAGTCTTTAGTGTTAAATCGTAGGTTAAAATAACTTGGTAGAAAAATTTTATGATTAGGCGTAAACTAGAAATCCATCAGTATCCGCCTGATCCCATCAAGATCTAGAAAGTTTTATGCACTGTAGGTACTGTATTCATGTGATGAGGGGTATATGGAAGAAAATAACTACATGGGTTAAAAAACTACCAGCTAATAAGAGTGGTATTTTTCATACTATATACTACTCAGTGAATTTAGTAGTTTGGATGAATGTGCTAAATTACCGTCTCCTGAATACACTTTAATGGAGACCAAACCAAGCTCTTAGCAGGACTTGTTATATAAGTATGGTCAAGTAGGTAAAAAACATCAGGTGTGTATACTCTTAAAAACCCCTGCAAAAGATGAAGGATAATGTTGCATCTGACATTTTTAACAAGTTATGTCTGATCACAGCAGTTAAGAGCCTCAGAACATATTCCAAAGTGACTTCAAGAAGAATGGAATCCGAGTTAGACGGTTAGAATCGATCGACAGAAAGCTAGTCATGCTTAAACTGGGTTTCGTGCTTTTTGGAACTCGTCGGCGAGACGTCTCCGTAACTTTGAGGAGAATGAGGTACTCTTAAA